AAACTGTCAGAAAAAAATAAATCATGAGTAACTCAACAATGTTTTTATAGTCTGTCTTACTAAAATGTTCATTTTTTGTCCATTTCTTAAAAATTCCTAAGTGCCATGCATCTCAGCACTGCTATTGCCTACTCTGTCAAGACCCCGACCAGAAGCTTCACACTCAAAGAATCAGAGCGAGTGTAGGAATTCAAAAGGATTTCTAGTTTCATCCTTATATCTAACTCTAAATCCACTGCACTGACACCTACTCTGCAGGCGAGGGGACTTGGGTGACCTCTTCTGGTGTTACAACATCACAGAAGTGTAGGACTAGAAGGGACCTCAATAGATCATCTAGTCCAGTCCAGTCCCCTGCACTCAAGGCAGGACTACAGAATAACTAGACCAGTGGTTCTCAAACTTTTTGTATTGGCAACCCCTTTCAGACAGACTTAGCATCACTTTGCCACCCTTACTTCTGCACTGCTGCTGGCAGCAATGCTGCCTTCAGAGCTGAGTGGCTCTGAAAGCAGTGCCGCTGCCCGCAACAGCGCATAAGTAAGGGTGGCAATGGGGCACTAAGTCTGCTGTGAAAAGTGATATTTGTATGTTTGTTAATATCACTTTTCACAGCCTCCCAGCTCTGAAGGCAGCACCACCGCCAGCAGCAGAGCAGAGGTAAGGGTGGCAATGGGGTGCTAGTAAGTCTGCTGTGAAAAGTGATATTAACAAATATACAAATATCACTTTTCACAGCAGGCTTATTAGCACCCCATTGCCACCTTTACATCCACACTGCTGCTGGTGGCAGGTGCTACCTTCAGAGCTGGGTGGCTGGAGAGCGGCAGCTGCTGTGCACGTACCCAGCTCTGAAGGCAACGCCACTGCCAGTAGCAGTGGAGAACTACAGAAGTAAGGGTGGCAATGCCATACCTGCCACCCTTATTTCAGCGTAACATTTGACCTTTGCGCTTGGAGAGACGGCTATAAGGGAGCTAAGGCAAATTTTGGGGTGGCTATAGCCCCCACAAGCCCTGCTCCCCCAGTGCCGCCCCTGCCTGTGTGTCTGATGGTTAAATTATAAATTACTTTTTTTTGCTGATCGCAGTGTTCTGATTGGTCTGCGGTTTAATGCAGCTCTTCAGCTGCTGAACAATCAAGCCCTCTAATGTTGTCTCAGCCCCACCTTTTTAGTCCCAAGACAATAAACCTGCACACGCAATACTACAATCCCCAGAGTCCAATTTCATTAAAGTGGTGATAATCCAAATATATATTTTGTTTAAAATCTTTTATGTACTTGAAAACTGTTATACCCCCACTCAGTCTTCTCTTTTCCAGACTAAACAAACCCAATATCTTGATTCTTTCCTCATAGGTCATGTTTTCTAAACCTTTAATCATTTTTGTTGCTCTCCTCTAGACTTTCTCCAATTTGTCCATATCTTTGACAAACTGCATAACCTGTAACTATCTAGTCTGCTCAGAGTGACTGACTCAGTGTATGTGGGTAAAAGGGCAATGCGTTCCATGTCTACCCATTACTACAATGCTCCCAGGCTGGCTTCAAGAACAGAAACGTAGGTGTTGCTGGGATCTCCCAATGGTTAGCTCACATTATATGACCAATAGGGGTTAATCCATTTTGCCACCATGTAGGTATCACAATATGTTCTCCATAGACTTGCTTGTACAGTGCATTAACTACCAGTGCACAGTCCCTTCAAGATTTGAGTTAACTATATTTTGCCATCAAAATATGATGATGTTTGGAAGAAGGAAGCACTCTGAAGACCTAAGTGTGACACTCCATACCCCGAAGTAGCACCCTGTAACCCACATATTCATCATTGATATATCATTGTGATATTTCCTACAAAGCATGCTATGTAAGATATCATATGAAAAGTCATGATCTGCTGAAACTCTTTGTTCTGTCTAAATACATATATCATAGTGCAGCGGTTCTCAAACTTTAGCAACCTGAGGAACCCCATTTTGATTTAAATTTTTTTGTGGACTCCCAAACCCCCCACTCAGCCCCAGGTCCCACCCCCACTCCATCCCTTCCCCCAAGGCCCCACCCCTGTCCCACCTCTTCCCACTCCCTCTCCACTCCTGACCCTCCTCTTTCCCCCCCGAGTGTGCCCCATCCCCGCTCCTCCCCCTCCCTCCCAGCACCTCCGGCCTGTCCTCTGAGTGTCAAACTGGTTATCTGCTTAGGTATCTTTCCTGGACTTCTTTGATGCGGAAAAACCAGGGAGCCACAGTTACAAAAAGTGCTTTCTTCCATCTATAACTAGCCAAAAGACTGCACCCAATCATATTAAGCTACAGTGATCCAGGCCTTAAAGTCTGTCAGACTGAACAATTACAACTCGCTCCATCTAAATATTAGCACTCTAGTATTAAAAAAAGGTACAGTTAATCTACAGTGTAGCATCCTGCTTCCTCAGCAACATCATCATACTGCTCATATCACTACACTGGCTTCCAATAGAATACTGGATCAAATTCCGGGTCTCCTGATTAACTGTCAAGGTCCTCTATGATACTGGCCCGAGATTACCTCAGAGTGCACTTCCCTTTCATCATGACAATGACTGCTGGAGAAACATTGAGGGGGGAAACCATCACACCATCAGCTTCCCAAATGACACTTGTGAGAACAGGAATAGGGGCCCTCCGAGTTACAGGGCCAAAGCTTTGGAATTCATTACCAGAGACCAGAATGACAACTATGTGACTGCCTGCAGCAAAGCAAAGCGTGAAACTTATTTCTTTGACTTCAGAGATAGAATTCTGAACAGTTAAGAAGAGGAGAAAAGAAGAAAGGAGGAATAAACAGGTGATAACAAGAAGGAAGAAAGAGAGCCGTAATATGGGAAGGAAGGGAGAGAGACAAGAGAAGGAAAATCGGATGATTGGCCTTTGTGTTTTAACCAAGATTATTCTCTCCTGGGAGGTGCTCAGATACTGAAAGTCTTACATAAGGTGCCCATCACTACAGTATATATAGCTTCATACCTCAAATTATTTAAGAGACTGAACTAAACAGAACAAAATACAAGCTAAGGATTGTCACAGACACCCTATGATATTTGCTAGACAGAGTATCTTATCTTCTGCTATAAAAGGCTGGAATAATCTGCCCGTGTGGGCTGAGCACCAAAACTGGCATTAACTACGGCATATTTTCCTGTAGCCCCCCATATTATGTCGCTTTTCCCCCTCATCACCTTTACTAGGAATCTGATGCAAGACAGCCACAGATATTATCAGGCTCCTATTTCTTCTGTTGATTCAAACTTCTCCACACTCCTCTTTAATTAAAAAGATAGTTGTGAAGCTAAAAATATGTGAGTTTCTTTTAGAGGATTCAGTGTTTGTTTTCCACAGAGGTCAGAAGATATCATGTATATACAAATATTGTAGATCCTGCTCAGAACAAACAGCTTATACCCGCTGAGCATAAAGTTACTTTGTTTTTCAGGCAAAGGATAGCATTTTTGTTTTACTACTTCTACATCAAAGCTCCTTGGTTTCCAGTTTGCTGCTGAACCAACCAGGCTTTAGGATTGTGACAGGGCAATGTCCCAATCTTCTGCTTTATTTACAAAGACTATTCAGCGACCTTCAATTGCTAAACATCACCCTATAGTTTATTTACATTGCTCCTCCCATCACCTTTTTGATCCATAGACCACATCATCTACAGCATCAGTTTCTCCTCTGCCAAGGAGACAAGGGAAGGTCTTTGCCCCAGAAATCTTTTTGGTTTTGGCTTTCCTAGCATGCCTCTCCCCCCACACCTAGAACTTCCTTCCTGTGTCTTTTTTTAGCCTCTGTGTTAATGGGCTAATTACCTCTTGAATTCTCCCCAGACCATTCTAATCCACTAATTAGGTTGGGGGGAGTAAATTGGTGTTTAAGTGTTCAGAGTGCTGGCTCAGCTGTTGGTTCCCAGGCCTCTGTCACAAGGATACAAACTAAAGGATGTCTCAACAAGGACTGGTAGAGGTTTATGTAGCTTGTCACCTTTAGCTCAGTGGCCAAATGTGATCCAGTTCAAGAGTAAATAAAACTTTTTACTATTGGCTGGCTGTGCAGTGGTCTGTGTGAAATGAGTGACAGGCTTCAGTCCAGTTCCCAGCTCACATCACTAAAAATACAATTGCAATTGTGAGATCAGATGGTAGAAAAGCCTATAAGGGGAAGCAGCAGGAGTTACATGACCTAGACAAAGCACTAGAAAAATGCTGTAGGAAACAAATCTTAATGGGATGGACTAGATAATCCGATAAGACTTTTCTTTATCTAATTTCTAAGGGCCAGTCCTGGCACAGGGATAAATAAACCCCTCTCTTCTGTCTTCCAACTGGCCACTCATTGCCTTTCCCCTAATATGCTGTGCTAGGAGAGATGGAAAGTGAGCTGAGATTAACTACTTGTCCTGAGGACCAGTAGCACCCCTTGTAGACATAATAAAAATTTCTACTTCATTCCCAATCCCTGTAAACCACCAAATCCATTTATGCTTTTGTTTTAATGCTAAGTGTCAGGATGCATAAGCATATTCCAAACAGCCCATATAATTATTGCCTATGGAGACATATCCTATAACATTTGCAGTAACACAGGGGGTCTGGAAGGGTGCCAGAGTCAGTATCAGCTGTTTCCTAATCCTGACTTTTTATTTGTTAGACAAATTTGTTACAGAAAGAAAAGAATGTTCTTTTATTCTGGAGCTCCAAGGTGCAACTCCTCCCTCCATTTCCTGATGATGTGTTGTCTCTCACTTCATCCAGTTTTGGCATTTTCTCAGGCACAATTTTTAGTTCCCTGTACAGTAATTTCCTGGGTGGGGAGTGTTTTTATAATCTTCTTTTATCTGTCTCAATCTCCCAAACTGTTCAGCAAAACCAGAGAGAGAGAGAGAGAGAGACTGAATCCATGCTGAGAATTTTAGCCTCCAGTCATGTGTCTAGGCAGAAAAATGTTTCAGAGGTGCTACTTACACAGCATCCAGCTTCGTCCCGTTGAAAGCGTGGCCTTGGACCCTAGTGAAGCCATTATTGTAGAGTTTGCTGCAAACAAATAAATGAAATTAGCCGTTTTTACAATGCAGTACTAGCTAGATTCCTGGAGAACTATGCTTTATCTTTCCCCGGCCAGCAGCATATCAGATGGACTAATTTTAATCTCTTGGAGGTATAATATAACATAAGGGCTAATGGATGCTTAGCAGCATTCTTGACTACTGAGCACAGAAGAATGCCAGGCACCACTTGCAACTTGCACTAACTTTTACTTTCTTCCCAAGAAAGGCAAGGTAGTTCTATTACCCACCTCAGACTTGCCCAGAAACATTAAATGAGCTCCCATGGTTTTCCAGTTGAAACAATAACTTACTGTAACTGTAGTTCTTCAAGCTGTGATGCACGTGTGTATTCCACTTAGGTGCATGTGCACAGAGCTCACTGGAGCAGGAAAATTTGCCTAGCAGTACTCATCGGGGGTTGGTGTTGTGCCTCATGGCCATAGCACCTCCCATGGCTTTATGAAGTGACACCGCCCCAACCACCCTCAGTTTCTTCGCACCAAATACCAAGAGATGAAACTCCGACGCAGAGAGAATAGAGGGTAGGTCATGGAACACACGTCTGCATCACATCTCGAAGAACCACAGTTTCTTCTTCTTTGCGTGGATGCAGCTGTGTATTCCACTTAGGTGACTCACATGGGAGTACCCCACCCAGGAGGCGGGGCTCGGAGTCCATCTAAACAAGGATTGCAGCATCGCCCTTCCCAAGGTTGTATCTGCCCTGGAAGATGCAGTAATGGCATAATGGTTCATAAATGTACGTATGGAAGACCATGTAGCAACCCTGAAAATGTTCAATACAGAAACTTCACTGAGGAATGCTATTGATGTTGCTTGCGCTCTTGTTAAATGAGCTTGAACCAGCTGAGGGGGCGTAGCCAAAGCTATTTCATATGCAGTCTTGATACAGGATGGTATCCATCTAAAGATCATCTGTGAAGAAACCACTTGACCCTTTATACGACCTGCATATGACACAAACAGGTGAGGTGAAGCACAAAACAGTTTAGTCCTGTCCAAATAGAAGGCTATACATCATCTGACATCTAATGTATGGAGATACTATTTCTCCAGAGATTAATGTGGCTCAGGAAAGAATACAGGTATGTATACCACCTGGTTCAAATGAAACAGAGAAACCACTGTAGACAAAAATTTTGGATGTGGCCATAAATTCACCTTGTCTTTGGAGAACTGTGTATAAGGAGGCCCTGCCATCAGAGCCTGCAACTCGCACACTCTCCTTGCAGATGTTATCGCTATCAGGACCACAGTTTTCTGACACAAGAGTGGAAAGGGGATTGATGATGATAAGGGACAAGATGATAGGGGCTCGAACAGAGGTCCCATCAGTACCATGTTAAAGTCCCACAGAGGAACCGGCTCTCAGACCAGAGGGTGAAGAAGTCCTTTTAAGAATTTTGATACCAAAGGATTGGCGAAGACTGCTCTTCTCTGAATAGGGGAATGAAATGCCGATATCACTGCCAAATGCATTTTCATAAACTAAATTCAACTCCCGATGACTAAAGGTGCAGCAGGAAGCCAGCATCGGTTGAATTCTGCAGGCCAATGACCACACAGAAAACCATTTCCATTTTGCCGAATAGGCCATCCTGGTAGAAGGCTTTCTACTGTTGAGTAGAACCTGCTGAACAGCCACCAAACCCTGCTCTTCCTCCTCATTCAGCTATGCAGCAGTCATGCTGTGAGATACAGGGAGCTGAGTGTGGGGTGCAAGGTGCAGCCATTCTTCTTCTTTAGTATGGCTGCTGTAGCGCTTCAGCTACAATTTCTTCTGAAGTTGATCAAGCCAGATGGATACATCAGGAGTGGCAGAATTTATTGCAGTGATGCCTCCTTCATATTTATAAATTGGGCAGGAGGTGGTGATATGTTTGATGGTCTGTTGTGGGAAGCCACACTCGCAAGCCAAGGAGTCCTTGATTCTTCATTTGTGCAATGTCCACAGCTACCATGGTTGGTTCGGATTCGATTCAGAGTTGACCAAGATGTCCATGGAAGGTCGAAACCAGGAACTTCCTGCCTGGGATCCAGCACAAGGTGTTTATATATTTTAAGTCTTGTTTAGCCCAATCTGCTTTCCAACCCTCCTTCTGATCATTGCCTGATTGCATGAGGCTAAGTGAATGTTCCCAGAAAGGCTTGCGGGACTTTCAATGTTGGGGTTGATGAGGTCTTGATGGATAGGAAAATATCTGTTTTCCTGGATTCGCTGAGCTTCACGGAGTATAGCAGAAGTTTGGCGTATTGGCAGGGGAGCAATATTAGACAGAACAGGTAGCCATGGTGTAGGAGTCAACTAAAGGGTTCCAGTGATGCACCACATCACTGTATTCAGTTGGTTGTCAACAAGTCACGTGTGGCTGCACCTGGTCCATACAATAGTCAGGTACCAAATATACAAGTGCCATTGCAGATATTCGCAACACTGATGCCGATGCACCCCAGGTTGTACCTGCTAGTTTCTGAATTACGTTGGCTCTCGTTTTTATCTCAAGGTACTCATGGAAGGGGAGAGTGTGGCAGAGTTTCACTCCGAGGTAAGTTGGGGTGCAATCATGTCACACATTGTTATAAAAAAAAAAAGCTACTTTCAGTGTGTTTGATGTACTTACTATTGTTTTTCTAGGGTTTGGTTTGAGCCTCCATTTTCGGGAAATATTGAGTCCTCAGTTAACTTTCTCAGTGTCATGGAGGTTTGGTGTTTGGATTGTCATGGCAAGATCATCTGCATATCCAAATTTTCGTGATTTAGTTGGAGGCATGTCACTTATATAAATATTAAAAGGGGCTGGCACAAGTACCTTGTGGTAGCCCATTGTTTATGGTACGGGGTGAGCTGGTCTTATTACCCAGGTACACCTGTAGGTGTCTGTTACTCAGCATGGTCCACAGAAGGTGAAGTGTTTGGTAGCAAGGTATAATTTTTGCAAGTTTCAGCATCAGACGCTTAATCCATACAGTGTCATACACAGAAAAGAGGTCAACAAACACTGTACCAGTCTTTAGTTTTTTCTGGTAGCCAGCCTGTGTGAGTTGTGAGTGTCAAAACTTGGTTGCAACAACTACATTTTTGTCCAGAAGCCTGCCTGTTCAACAGGGATAATTGGCTCAGTAAAAGCGTGTATTCTTTTGAGGATGATACGTTCAAGAAGTTTATAGGTTGTGCATAGTAGAGAAATCGGCCTACAGCTTTCCACTTCATCAGTGGGCTTCCCAGGCTTTGGAATGGCAATTATCATTGCCTCACACCATATTTCAGGGATCTGTACTGTCCTTAAGGTAGAGGAGTACAGTGTTGCTAGCCATTGGAGTCCTTTGGGACCAAGATGGTGGAGGAATTCTGGCAGAATACCATCAGGGCTTTCAGACTTCTCTTTTTTCATCATGGCAAGTCCTTCTTTTATTTCCTCAATGCTGACAGTGGCAGGTTCTCCTCGGGGGACTGATGCAAGTGTCCAGTAGAGTTGTTGATACACTTCTCTCCACGTGTGTTTATTGAGTGGTCCTTTTGTGTTCTCCACCAGTTTCGAGGCTATTGAGTTTGGCCAGATTTTTGGTGGCTGATGCTCTGTGGGATTAGCGTCTCAAAGGCATTGCAGTAGTGTCCAGGCTTGATGGCTTGAATGTGTAAAATCAAGGTTTTTCATGCAGTCAAGCTAGCGCTGGCATCTTGCTGTGTCACAGAAGTGTAGCAGGACTTTTGAGGTGTGAGAGCTCCTGGTCCAGTTGTATTGCCTGAGCAACTCCCACATCTCTCACATCCAGCAGGGAATGTGCTTTTTCTGAAAGTCTTGGGGAATGTTCTTCTTTCCTGCTACTTTTATGAGCCCTGCAAACTGTTGATAGAATTCCAGTCTCACCGGAATCCTTGTGACAGTTTTCTCAACAGTCTGTTTGTAGGCATCACAATCAGCTTTAGCAAATTTCCATTGTGGTATCTGTTTCAGAAAAAATACAGGAATTTCAATGCCTATGTAGATCATTATGGGCCTGTGTTGGCTGTTTGGAAATGCCAGTAGTACTTCATGTGATGCGATGAGAGTGTTTCCACTTTTGTCTTTACACTCGAATGTTGGGTCTTTTTTATACCCACCTTGCCAGCATCTTGAATGGAATGTTGATAGTTATTTAAATTCATAGATTAATTGTAAGTCTTGTGCAGATATCCAGTCCATGAGATTTTCGCCATCAGTTTCATTTGTTTTATAGCCCCACATATTGTGGTGACTATTAAAATTGCCTGCATAGATGTATGGAATAGGGGTGCTGGGTAGCATTGGTTTTGGCCATCTTATGCTAGAGTCTTTACAGACGTTGATAACTTGGAGTTCCCCTACTTTGAGAGTTGTGGTAAATGTGGTCTCCTCTTCAGTTGGTGGAATAACATTAAAATTTGTGGTGGTGTCTTTGATGTATACTGAAAAGCCATATTTTGGATGATAGTGACTAGTAATTAGGTTATATCCATAGATACAGTAGTGCCTACTCTGTGGGTCGTTATTAACATGGGTCTCTTGCAACATGAGGATGTCAATGTTGTGAGTCTTCAGCAGGTTTCCAAGGTACTCACATTTTGCCCATGAGTATCCTTTGGCATTAAGTTGCAGGATTCTTGTTCCAGGGCCTATTTGGCACGTTGTGTGGCTCTGAGGAAGAACTTTAGGATTTATTGAGTTGCTGCTCTGTTGACCGGGAAATCGCTGAGCGATGTTCAGTACCCAAGTTGATGTGTCCATGATTCTGAGTGAGTAGGTTGGGATAGAGAGGAAGCAGTATGGGAGGCTGAACTGATAGCCCAAGAAGATTGGAGAACTAGTACTGCCTCAGCCACATAATGGCAATGAGGATGAGGTTGGCCCGATCTGCCTTCAGCTTGAGGATTACCTGTGGGATGATTGGGATCAGGAGAAAGGCATAGAAAAGAGCCATGTGTCAGCTGAGATGGAAGGCGTCAAA